TTTGGGTGCCACACAGTGAGGTACTTCATACAATGGCTTGAGTTAGAAGGGACCTTAAAGATCATCTTGAACTAGACCAGGTTGCTGAAAGCCTCATCCAGTCTGGTCTTGATCACTTCCGGGGAGGGGGCTTCCACAACTTCTCTTGGCAACGAGTTCCAGCATCTCGCCACCCTCATATTAAAGAGCTTCTAACGTCTAATCTAAATCTATCTTGCTCTAGTTTAAAACCATTGCCTTTTATCATACTGCTACACACCCTTGTAAACAGTCTCTCTCCAGCTTTCCTGTAGCCCCCTTCACGTACAGAAAGGCTGCTCTAAGGTCTCCCCGGAGCCTTCTCTTCTCCAGGCTGAACAGTCCCAACTCTCTCGGCCTGTCCTCGTAGGTGAGGTGCTCCAGCCCTCTGATCACCTTTGTGGCCTCCTCTGGACCTGCTCCAACGGATCCATGTTTTCCACAGCTTGGAACCTTACAACACATGCCTCATCCTGGACAGCAAAAGGGATATCATACCCCCACCCTATGAACACAACAGCTTCCCAAGAATTCCATTGTAATTGCAGAACAGGGCCGGAAACACAGCTGCATTCCCAGAGCTAACTGCAGATTTCTTTTCCAGCAGCCCTGGTGTCCTGCTTCCCTTTGCAGCTGTGGGTTCAGGCTACCCAGGAGTTCACACACGAGCATAAACGCCATTGCTGGGTGTATGACGCAACCTCAGCTCAGCAGCTGTGTTTGAGTTACCCAAAAGCCATCCTGCAGCCAACACCACACAATACAGTAACAGTTTCTTTGCTTCTGAGGCAAAAGCACGACAATAATATCCTCAAACACGCATAGGAGGGATTTGCTTATAATCTAAGTCTTTGGTGGGCGATAAGTCTTATCTTTGCAGAGATGTTTGCAAAAAGCATCAGAAAAACCCCAGGAAAGTACACACACTTTATGAGGCCAGACGGAGTTCTGTGGTTTATTCAATACTGACAGAATATTGCCCTGTGCTACTAGAACCACAAGTTCAAGGAGAAGCCATTCAAAACCAAACTAGCAGTGAGACTGAAAAAGGAGAAGGAAGGAGTCAATAGTCTGCACTTCTAACCCCCAAGCTAGTAATTGTTGGTGGCACAGCCTGGAAGGTAATGCATTACTGGAAGCTGACAGTCATGAGTTAACATCAGGACTGAAGCTCACATACACTATTACTAAATTCATCCCGGGTTTGACAACTACGATATTAATACAGCCCTATGAAAGATAACAGCATGTTGAAATCTGATAGTAATTACATGAAAAGACACAGCAATTACATAGAGTTACTTCATATACTATTAGCTATCAAACTTTGCCCTGTTTACGTTAGCTCACTAAGAAACTAACAATTCATCATTTGACACATAAGTTATTAGTAACACAGTAAACCAGAAAGCATTTGCAGTTGAATCTGACATCAGACAACAGCTTGAAAGCACAAGCACTTGCCACTGAATCCACCAGACCCAACAGCTGACATACAGGTTTTGCACTGCCCTAGCTTGCTTGCCACTCCCCGAACTGCAAGACAGCAAGGAGCTCTGGCATTCCTCCCATTTTTCCCCTAAATCAACGGTATTCGGTCTTGAAACTGCTTATAAACTGAAATTCAGCTGCAAGGAAAAAACTCTTCTACATAGCAGACACTGATAATAGAGAGCAAAAAAGTTACTTCCAGAATTCCTCAACGCTAAGGTATGCATGTGCTTATCCTCTCAGGCTCAATTTGGACACTTGTACTGTTTTGCCTCTTGGGAGATGAGAACATAATCTAAAGCGTTAGTTCATATGCTCAACTTACAATCACTAGGATAACTGACCCATGGAGGAGGAAGCTAAATAAAACCACTCAGGATGCTTGGTTCAAAGACAAATGTTCTGACAATCTCTTCTCGTGGATAAGAGGGTACAGCTACTTGCTGGTCTTCCTGATCTGAAAACAGTGACAGAACATTTCTTTCTCAGACTTTCCAGCACACTTACCCACCTTCACTTTTCAGCCACTACCGTTAGAGCTATGTAAAACAAGACAGCACTTCCTTCTTCACACAGGCTCACACTTTGAATTGGTTTGATCATAATGGCTGTTTAAAGCTGAATATCCAAAACTGACACATTAGACTCAAAAAAAGTCAGTTTTATTCCCCTTAGTTTGCATGCCCGAGTTGGCCAGCACTGCTTTTGTAAACACACACAAACAACGGGCACAGTATCGCTGCAAATGAAGCTCATGCCATGAGGTAGAATAGAAAAATAGGTTCCTCAGGCAGTAAAAGAGACTTCTCACCACATAGTAGTTTATAACACTTCCAAAAAATAACACAGGAGTAGTTGAGAAGAAATGAAACATTTTAAAAAAAAAAAAAGACCGCTTCCAAAGATGGAGATGCACACGATAGCTGCATGTCTAATGGAAATAGCTGGAACATAGCAGGGGTAGCCCCCCAAAGAAGATAGAACACCCAAGATGAGGCCATTTGTATTGAAATAATACCTCTGTTACTCCAACAAAAGACTGTACACATATCTAAAGAACACTCATTTCCCCATCATTCTGCCCAGGAATCATCAAGCACCCGTTGAGCTATCCATCTCAAATTAACTGTATATGGCAAAATGATTTTATACCTAAGACATTAAGATTTCTCCAAAATATTTAGGGAGAAAATACTTGATATGGCTGAAGTGTTCTGGCATCTTACCTTATAATAAGCTAAGATTCATTAAGGCAAGCTTTTATTTTAATATGAATGGCTATTTTCTTTGCTTTACCTCTCCTATAATTTTTAAACTCCTAGCCATAAAGTAACCAAAGCAAAAAGTCAGCCTACAAAAGCCTTCATAATTATATTTCAACAATATTTTGCTATTTTAATTTATTTTCTCTCTAGTTGTAAGTTTTAAACAAGAAACTAACATGACTAAGTGCAGAGTAGAACTCCTTTAAAGAACGATGTAACGTCAGCTCCATTTACTTTTCATTATCAGAGAAGTACTCAGCAGTATTTACTCAGTTACCAGACTGCAAGGGTCAAAGTTAAACCACACCTCAGCACAACTCCCCCTGCATATGAAAGCCTGGCACCTACAGACTATGCAGACCTAAGCTTGCCATAAAAATAATACTTTTTTTAAGTAATGCACCTTATGAAACTTTTCTACCAGCTAAAAGAGTAAAACACATTCATCATCCTAACTATCACTGTCTTATAAAAAGGATCATCGAGAAACAGGAGCAGCAAGCAAATAAATGCAGGGTCTGCAAATCGTAAAAA